TTTTTTTAATGAAACTGTAAGAATCGATTTAATTCTTAATTTATTTCAATCAGATAAATTTAATCCATAAATATCTCTATAAATAAAATTACTAAACGTCCTTATGGCACTAATATTTTAAATTATACCAAAAAATAAGAAGTCACTAAAAAAATCTAGATTATTAAGAGATTCTTTAATTTGTTCTCAAATTTTTCATTTAATTTTATTTTAAATTTGAATAAAAAATTTGATATAAAGTAGACATTGTTTCATCAATTTTTTTTTAAAAGCTTTTTAAAAATTTCCCTCTCTATCTCAAATTTTTTTATTATCAAATTTGGTAAATAAATAAAAAAATCATCTTTAATACTTCATCTTTTAAAATTTGTATCAAATACAAATTTCATGAAGGATTTATTGAATTTTCAATTTGATAAAAGAAAAAAAATAGAAATAATAATTCTTTACTAATTTGAGAAGCATTTGATAACAAAAATGGTAGAAATCCAAAATGAATTATCAAATATTATACGTAATACTCACATAAGTGTGATACTCATATCACATGGATTTATATGGGTCCTATATAAGTAGAAAAATTATACTATACACACTTTTTTAGGGATATGCATATATAATTATGTCATTTTATTATTTAATTATGATAATATTTTAATTATCACTCATAAGATATTTGATTACACCTAGATGTTTGGTTATGATTTTTTTTTCTTTAGTTATGACTAAAAAAAGTATGAGATGATGCTAAATTTTTTTAATTATAAAGTACATATAATATATATTTTTCTCATATAAGTATTGCATAAAATATTTAATAATTTATTTGGAATTGTTTTTAGAGAAAATTAGTGATAAATCCAATTTAGATGGTGTCTAAGGCATTAGGCCTAGGGTATTTTTTATTGACAAGAGGTCCAACATTTGTGAAATAATTTGGTGAGAGGTCCTTTTACTTGTTTTGAAATACATTTTGTTTTCAATTTTACCTATTAATTTACCTGTTGACTTTTTTTGACTATCTATTTAAATTATTTTCTATCGGTTCAAATTTTTCATCTATCTGTTCAAATTATTTTCTATCTGTTCAATTTTTTTTTTATCTATCTATTCAAATTTTTTCTGTATAAATTTTCTATCTATCCAAATTTTATCTGTCCAATTTTTTTTGTTCAATATTTTTATATGTACAAATTTTCTATCCAAATTTTATCTATACAAATTTTTATATCTAATAATTTTTATCTGTACAAGAACCAATTGTGCATTGTCATTTTCAAAGGCAAATGAAGAAATGATTTGAGAGAAAACAAACAAGAACAAGCATATCCAAAACCTAGAAGCCATTAAATCCATCTGTTGAAATTTTTATCTATTCAAATTATCTTTTTCAAAAAATCCATCTGTTAAAATTATTTGTTAAAAAAAATTAATCTATTGCAATTTATCTGTTCATCATCATCATCAACAACAACAACAACAACAAATTCTATCAGTTCAAACCTTTCTTCTCTCTCTCTCTCTCTCTTTCTCTCTCCCTATCTGTTGCATTTTGTTTCATCACTATCACCAACAACAAATAAAAAATAAATAAACAAATAGAGATCTTCATCATCATCGTCATCAACAATAAGAACCACAACAACTATTACCAAAAACAAAAAAAAATCAACACAAACGCACACATGGCCTATGTTTTGAAAAATAATAATAATAATAATAATAATAATAATATGAGAACCTTAGAAGATCAAACCAAATAAAGATCTAGATATTCATCGATCTGGATAACAACCTCAGAGAAAGATTTGTCTCCGTCCAGATTTAGTAAAACTTGAACTTGGTCTAGATCTAACATCTTCGATGACAAACACTAGTAGATTCGGCGGACATAGAAAGGGAAGAGGAAGTGGTGGTGTCGGTAATTGAGATGGAGAGGAGAGAGGAGAGAGAAATGAGGGGAAAAGAAAGAGACGGTATGTATTGGTTACGATTTGGAGGAGGTAACAGAGTATGAGATCAACATGGGTAGGACAGTGGTGTTAGGGGAGAAAGACAGATCGTGTGAGATTGAAGAGAGAGAGAGAGATCGGTAGTGAATAAGAGAGAGAGAGAGAGAGATGGAGATCAGTGGAGAAGGGAAACGGTGGTGAGTGATGCTGAAGAGGGAGACAGAGATCTCAGTGAGCGTTTGGGACCGGCTGAGGAGAGAGAGAAAGTTCAGAGTGACAGAGTGAGAGGATTTGGGACCCAATATATAATGAAGGGCATTTTGATAATTTTGCTTAAGCTTATCTTCTTAGACAAAATGTTTCAATGCTTGAATCTTTAAACAAACAAAATTAAAATTTAGACTTAATTTAGACTTTTGGACTAAGGTCTCGTTTGGGAACAAGTTTTTTTAGTTTTTTGGCTAAAATATAATGTAAAAAACTAGTATGTTTGGAATGATTTTTTAGTTTTTTATGAAAAAAAATGTGTAAAAAGTAGAGAGAAAAAAGAATATTTGACTTTTTAGTATAGGTTATTGGCCTTTTGATTTTCTTGGTGACTTTTTGACTTTTAAGTTAAAAATTGATTTTGCCAAATGAGTTTGGCGTGATCTAAAAAAGTTAAAAAGTTAAAAAGTAAAAAAGTCACTATCCTATTTAAATCACATCATCTTATTTAAGTCACATCATCTCTTTAAGACATCACTTCAAACACAACTCATATTTCATAAAAAGTCAAAAAGTGCACTTATTTAAATCATCTCAAACCATCCCTTAAGTACCCTGTTTCTATTATTTTTGACAAATGACTTATAGAAGTTGTCTGAGATAAACTAAAAAAGTCAAAAAGTCAAAAAGTTACTAAAAAAAATTTAAGGGGTTGTTTGGGGTGTCCTAAATAAGTGCACATTTTTTTTTTAATCTTTATAGACTTAAAAATTGAGGAAAAAAATATAGATGTTTGGGTTAACTTTTTATCTTTTTACGAAAAAATGTGTAATAAAAATTTGTATAAATAATTTTATAAGAGAAGCAAGTATAATAGACTGTACGACACCTTTTTCTGGGCAGAGTGTAGGAGATAAGGACATGATTGCCTTCTTCGCGCGTAACCATTTGGACTGTGTTGTTCGGTCCGTGGGGCCTACCACGAGTCCTATTTTGATAATCTGAACCATTCAATATGTAGAACTTGTCGAGTACTACATGCTTATAAAAAATCACATAGGTTAGATATTGAAATCACATTGATCGAATTAGTTTTTGTTCATCAGTTAACCATAACACCATCATTTTTTTTATACAAAACTAATTTGATCATATAGTTAGCGATATCCGATCAACGTAATTTTTTACAAGTATATAGTACTCAACGAGTTCTACATATTAAATGGTTTAGATTATTAAAATGTGACACATGGTGGCCCCCACGGGCCGAACAACATAGCCTAAATGGTTGCCCGCGAATGAGGCAATTATTTCTAGACCAGTACAGCAGACCAAACTTCAGCAGAAAGTTGAGTTGTATTTTTTTATGTGTAAATTTTTTTTTTTGTATTTTTTTTTGTGAATAGTGATAACTTTTTAGTTTTTTAAGTAATTTTTTGACTTTTTCAAGACATGCCAAACCAAGCCTAAAAGTTTATACTATTTAAGGGTAGTTTGTAGAGGAAGCCACTAGGACAAAATTATTATTTTGTCCTTTGAATTTAACTATCAAAAAAGTCAAAAAGTTAAAAGTCAAAAAGTCAAAGGGTAAAATTATAATTTTAATTTTACTATAATATTTAATTATATATCTTTTTATAAAAAGTTAAAAAATCATCCCAAATATATATATATATATATATTTTACTTTTTTAATAAAAAAGTAAAAAAAAAACACTTATATAACTAATCCCAAACAACTGCTTTAAATATTTTTTGATGAGAAAATGTGAAATTTGAAAAGGGCAAAGCTTGGGATGCTTTAACTTTAGACTTTCAAAATTTAGCCTAATTTAGGTTAAGTTTGGCAATCTAAAAATAATTTATCTTTTTATCTTTTTTTATCACATCATTTTTTTATTTTTTTGTACATTTTTTCATAAAAAGATAAAAAATACATTTATTTAGGTCATCCCAAACAACCCCTTAGGTTAAAATTCACAAAAATATGAAATAAACTAAATGGTTAATAAGATAAAATATTACATTAAATTCATAGGATATGTTTCGTTTGTGTTTGAGAGATGTGTTTTAGAGATAAAAAGTATGAAAAGTTGTTTGGTTTGATTTTTTTCAAAAGATGTTTTGGAAAATTATTTTGAGAGAGAGTTTTGGAAAAAATGATTGATTTGATGTGTGTGAGAGAGAGATTTGTTTGGAAAACTTGTTTGGTTTACAAGTTTTGAGAAATTTTTTTGGAAAAATTTGTTTGGTTTGATTACTTTTAAAAACTTATTTGTAGAGAAAATTTCCCAAAAATTTTTCAGAAATACAAACCAAACGAACCCTATAATTTTTTTTTTCTCACAAACATCACATTCAACTATAAAAAAAGTCAATCATCTTTCTAAACATAAAAATTTAAACATACTAAAGGGTTGTTTGTGATATTCTAAATAAGTATACTTTTTTACTTTTTATTAAATATGTGTTAGATATGGGTTGGATTTGAAGTGATGTGATTGAAAAGTGATGTGACTTAAATAAGATGATGTAACTTAAATAGAGCCTCGTTTGAGAACATGCTAATTTAGTAATTTTTTTGCTATTTAGTTAAAATATAAGCTAAAAAAAACTAGTATATTTGAAATAATTTTTTGACTTTTTACGAAAAGATGTACAAAAAGTAGAGAGAAAAGAGAATATTTGACTTTTTAGTATAAGTTGTTGGCTTTTTGACTTTTTTAATAACTTTTTGACTAAATAGAAGTCTTCTCAAATGGGACCGGAATAATAATTTTTTGACTTTTTTTTAAGACACGCTTAACGAGGCCTAAAATAACAAAAATAAATAAAAATAAATAAAATAACACTTTCCGAACAGCCGATGAAGACAATCTGAGAGAGCTCTGAGTGGGGGTGAGCTGACGATGTCCATGGATGAGCAAGAAGACCACGGTGGTCGCCATTCTCGAGCTTCAGCCTCTCGGCGCACTCGCTCCCAGGTAGCTCCCGACTGGTCCTCCCAAGAATCCCTCACCCTTATCACCGAGATTGCCGCCGTCGAACGCGACTGTCGCAACACTCTCTCCTCTTTCCAAAAATGGAAGATCATCGTCGAGAATTGCAACTCCTTGGAAGTCTTCCGTACCCTCAACCAGTGTCGCCGTAAATGGGACTCCCTCCTCTCCGATTACAAGAAGATCAAGCTCTGGGAATCGTCCGAGTCCCGGGTCGAATCGTACTGGTCGATTGATTATGAGCGAAGATGCGAATTTGGGTTTCCTGAGGATTTTGATTTCGAGGTGTTTAAAGCCATTGATGATCATTTGAAGGTGGGTGATGGGTCGGATACTGACCCGGATGTTGATCCTGAAGCTGTCGCCGATGGAGTGGCCGAGCCTGGTATGCTTTTTCTTATATCATTCAACTGTGATTTAGGTGTTTGCTTGTTTATTTGATTGCTAGCATTGCATGCCCTTTTAATCTTCAAAAAATGGGTAGTTTAAATTATCTTCTATTGCATTGAAATCTGAGTAATTTCAATTGTACACTAGCATTGTTGAGCTGAAATAGTATTTGATTTGGCATTGGATGACCATTATAGGTTAAAATTTCAGTCAAATTTTAGTGGTGTTTGTTGTTGCAAAATTTGGGTATGTTTGGTGTTTGGCATAGTTTCTTGCAGTTGAAAGTACTTATATCAACGACTTTGTAATAAGGATTTTCAAGAGAAGCTGGACGTTTGGCTTAGCTTTTGAATGTTTATCAATTTATAGTGTTAGAAGAAGAACATTCATTACAAATTGGGTGCTAAAAAGATGTGGTGCGACTAGCCAATGAACAACTTATGAACTAAGGGGAAGGGCTTTTTCAGCGGGTTGGTAAATGAATGTGAATAGCAGCACCCTATTGAATCCCAAAGAAAAATTTATATTGGACATCGTCAATAGGAATAGAACGTGGTTTTCCACCAAGAACTGGGATTTTGTTGTCAAATACCGCTTTTATGATAGGGTATGCAATTTGTGTTGACTTTCCTTTCATTAATGGCATCTCAGTCTAGTTGTTTGTTTCTCCAAACACGACTCTACATCGTAAAACTTGTGCATGTCATCCTACTTCGATGAGGGACTGCATGGGATTAACTTCTTTACATCCCATCCGTAAAGTGTATGTATTACAGCTAGCTACCAATTATCTTATGCCATATCAGCATTTTGGTTTATTATTCATATGACCTGAGAATTAGACAACAACTTCCCTTTTCCTTCTCTGTGGTCCACCCACTCCTCTTCTTCGTTTTCTTTCGCTGCTGGATGTCCATCATGGGAAGATAAAGTCCAGCAAGCAAAATGTTAACGCAAATCATTATTAGATTATATCACAAAAATAAATGGGGTTGGTAACTAATTTACCACCATAATGGGCGCAATTAATCCAGTAGAGCCACCAGCACTACCCTCAATCTCCATGATCCAACCAAGAACGAAGAGAAAATAGACCAAGAGCAATGGGGTGGTTGGTGCTGGTTGATGGTGGGGACTGTGGGAGTGGAAAGGGAGAAGGAAGTGGTTGTTAGAGTAGATGGGGGAGAGAGGCGGTGTTGGTTGGTGGCAGGGGTGGGCTGGAGGCGTAGGTAGCAATAGACGATGGTATGGGTTGCGGGTAGAATGGTCGGCAATGGGCATTGTTGCTGATGGAGGCAGCAAAGGAAGAGGAGGTAGAGGCGTGAGGGGAAGGGGGAGGGAGGTAATCACATGTGGTATGGTGTATGTAGAATCTCACGTAGCAGTGAAGTATTTAAGATGTAACTAAAGTTAGTTGATGTGTCTTTTATTCATTGGCAGTTCGTAAATCGGGCTTTCATGGAGCAGCCATGAGTTAGTTAATCCCAACTCCAAAACTTGGTTTTGGAATCACTAAGAAGTTAAAAATGGCTTAAATTTCACACGTAGTCGCGTGGGGTTCCATCAATATATTCTCAACTGTAAGTTTCTCAGGGTACTATTTATTTGTTTTAATAGTAAGTTCTCTACAATATGCTTTTTTGCGTGACTTTGTGCTTGAGACTGTAGGAAGTGTACCAATGCAAGCCAAATCTCAAAACATGAGGTGCTTACATCTGTTTTTTTGGACTTTTGGTTCCATAGATTTGAAGAAGCAAAGGCGCCGAGTGATGCCTCAGAAACGTAGCACAGAGGAAAGGGTGAAGCCTCAGAAACGTAAGATAAATAAAAAGATAATGCCAGTGCAAGGCAGAGTAGAAAAAAGGGTAAAGCCTTTGAAACACAGCATAGATGAGAAGATATTGCTTAAGAACAACTTGGAAGAGAAGGAGCAAATGATGGCTGCAAAACTATATGAGAATGCGGAATTGATCACTGACATACTTAAAGGAAACCTGGGTGAGAGTTCAGACTGTCTCTTGGCTGATCTAAAAAATGTCAACGATTCCCAGACTGATTTCACTAGGCATCAAGGTGACAGACTTATCACATGCCTTGGGAATCTTGCAGACACACTTGACCAGCTTTGTGATATAGTCCAAGAATGTGGTTAGTTTTCAATAAAGGTAATTACTGTTAATGTTCCATTCTAGTGATAAATGTAGTGTCCATGCTAATGCTAGCTTTATGACCATGGTTTTTGGAATTTTGAGACTTAGATCAATGTAAATGAGTTTAGTTCAAAGCTAGACGATCATCTGAAGAATTTGAAACTGTTGGATGCATTTGGATTCTTAAAATTGAATCATTCCATCGTGATTCTCAACTCAACAAGCCATCGTCCTATTTACTTGGGGTCGGTTACATGGATGCATTTCCTCCAATTGGCTTTATTCACTTAATTTTTCAGTTAAAAGTTTAAGATAACCATGTATTTTCTTATCACATTGTGTCTTAATCTCTCTTTGAATAACACCATTGTTCTTGTATGTTGGAACTAATGTACTTTTTCTTCAACTCATCAAGCATGTCTTATAATGCATCTTTCCAAACAAATTAGTCAACCAAACTGTCCCTTCATCTCTCAAAACACTTTCAAATTTCGATGGGAATTGCATTTGGTCTACAGTTTTTGCCACTTTCATCCTCCTCATAGCCTTTTTTTATCCCTACTACTCTAATATTGCGAAATAATTTATAATTCATATTACTTCTACAGTATCGAGTTTGACTAAACTTATGTTTCTTGAGTGGTTTTCATTAAATAGCTTTTCAAAATAACTCAAGCACAGTTTCATATTTTCCCTAGTATACTTGATGTAATTAGGTTTTTATCTATCTTTTTCCTTCTCTTATCTTAGCAAGTTTATCGACATCTTTTTTCCCCATCATTCATAATTGCTTCAGCCTCCATAATGGCTTTCTTAGCTAAGGTTTTAGCTATTTTATTTATCTAAAAAAAATTGGTTATTCCCACATGTGGAGACAGTATTGTGACAAATTACTTTTTGAACCGTGTCATTCCACCACGTAGTTTTTATTTATTTATTTATTTAATTTTTTAAGGTAGTAACCCACTCTCTTGAATTTACCAGAAGCTTCTTTTGCTACTTTATTTTATTACAATTGACCATCTCACACATATGAACTAGTTTTCTCGTTCAAAATTCATTTTCATTCCTCAATCATACATTTTCATTCCTCAATCATACGGTTCTTAAAGAGTGCTAAATTTTCAAAATTTAAATTCCACCATCTAATTCGTGGGGGTTACTTCTCCGACTCTTCTATCTTTCTCTTGCAATTTTTTTAATACATACATTTAACACTATTAACCTAAGTTGTGTAGTGAGATCCTATACAATTGTTACTTTACAATCCATTACATGTTTCATTATCAACTCTCTTACGGGGTAAAACATATATTTAACTAATATCATTGGTTCCACTTTTGCTATGAAGTGTTCATATCATTTTTAGAACATGCCTTTGCAATTATAAGTCATACGTCATTGCAAACTTTAAAATCACACTACCCTTGGATTCTGATGTGGGTCATCACTTTGGGGAATGCTCTATTTGGTTTCAGCTAAAAATCTCACTTTTAAACTATTTAAGCAAAAAAACCAAAAAAACTTCTTGTTTTGGACTTCAAAAAACCAACACCGGTAAAAACCCCATAGACCCATTCAATTTTCCCAATTAAAAATAATAATAAGAGAGCCCTCTCATGAACGAATCGCACAATCACAAGAATTTTTTTTTTTTACCACTAGGCACAAAAATAGTGGGAACTATATTAAATAATACATGTGAGATCAATGTTTGTGTATCTAGTAATAAGAAAGTGCGATATAGCATTTTCCATGGTGTTTCACAAGAATTTGGATCCTCGGCCGCCCTTTTGGGCGGCAGTTCCCAACAGCCCCCCCAAAACGACGTCGTTTTGGGGGGTTTTTCGTTTTTTTTTGCCCAAAAGGGCGGCCGAGGATCCAAATTCTTGTGAAACACCATGGAAAATGCTATATCGCACTTTCTTATTACTAGATACACAAACATTGATCTCACATGTATTATTTAATATAGTTCCCACTATTTTTGTGCCTAGTGGTAAAAAAAAAAAAATTCTTGTGATTGTGCGATTCGTTCATGAGAGGGCTCTCTTATTATTATTTTTAATTGGGAAAATTGAATGGGGTTTTTATTTCTTAAATAAATGTAGGAATTTGTTGAACAATTTGCAGGCAGTTGCGGTTGTTAGTTGCAATATTGCATTGTGAAACGAGTCCGGATTCTCGGCCGCCCTTTCAAAAAAAAAATCAAAAAAACCCCCAAAACGACGTCGTTTTGGGGGGCTGATGGAACGGCCGCCGGAAAGGGCGGCCGAGAATCCGGACTCGTTTCACAATGCAATATTGCAACTAACAACCGCAACTGCCTGCAAATTGTTCAACAAATTCCTACATTTATTTAAGAAATAGACCTTGCCAGTTTCAAATGCTTTCAAAATCCAGCATAATATCCTCGCATTAATAAAAAAAATACAAATACAAATACAAATAAAGTATTTGTTTCCATATTCTTACTTTTTCCATTTTTTTTTTCTTTTTGTCGAGGGGAGAGAGATACTAAGAAAACAGGATAACTGCATCTACCTAATTGTGTAGCAACAAGACCATGATGAAATCATCTACAGATTGATGACATAATATGTAAAAATAATGGTGTATTTTCATAGCCTTGCAAATTAGTTAAAAGTTGAATTCAAAATGCAAGCCACCGTGAAGTATTTGTTTTTACAGATACGAGGCACCGAGCTCATTCAACTCTTGAAGCAGGATCCAACCCAGTTGTGGGGCTATCAGCAAAATACTCTTGATGTTTCACATTCACGCCATACTGCTCAATAACAACGAGAAACCTAAAATCAGCGTAAAATGGTTGTAATCTGAAACGAATGAGAGAGTTCTGGAGGCCATCACTGAGAACCAGGACAATATGCCAATTACAGATACTCTAATACAAATAAGAAATCTGTTAGCATTTAATTGAAGAAGGTACTAGCAAAAGTCAGCTTTCTCAGCTAACAAACCCAATTGCTTTCTCAGCATTTATTTTTACTTATCTACACAAAATAAATAAAGAACCAATTAAATAGAGCCTAAAAATATGCTTCTGCTTTCCTAACACAACTCAATTTTCCATGGCTTATGTGCCATTATGTAGTTAATCTATTCAAATATTGGCATTTAAGGTATTCTCATAATGGTTGAGGCAAGCTGCCTGTGTAGATAAGTCGCACCCCTATTAGGCCTTTTCAGTGGTTAGATTACTTTACATATCAAAAAATTAATAACATGGATATATCGTTTATTAAAGAATCACCGTCTTAGCACATTTTCCAAAACAGGCTTTTCACACATATCCATCTATTGAAATATCATGTTTTACAATATTCAAATCGAAAAGGTAGAACTTTGATGTCCAGCATTGCCGAAGTTCTATGACTACCGAAATTTGGAGGTTAGAAATTTTGCATCTCAAACTATTAGGAGACATGATATTTGTCATTTTGAGGTTGGCTGGCATAAATTTGACTCTTGATACCAATACTGCTTGAAGCACTAAAGTGCTTACCTCACGCAGAGCCTTGGAGAGGTCCTCCATTGTCAAGATTAAACGCTTATCCTATTAGAGAGAGAGATCGGATTAAACTAAAGTAAAGAAGAAAAAAAAAAGCTGGAAATATACAAAAATAAAAAAATTGAGAAGTAGAAAAACGTAAGTAAAATGTGAGGACCTTTTGCTGCTTATCTCTCTTGTCCTTGACCACAGCTGCCTGCCTTGCCTTGCATTGCCTATATTAAGATCAATAATGCTAGGTAGCTCAAAATTTTGTGGCTCAAATGGCTCAAATCACTCAAAACGACATCGTTTTGAGTGTAAATGAGTGTAAAACGACGTCGTTTTGACAGATTTGAGCCATTTGAGCTACAAAATTTTGAGCTACCAAACATTTTCCTATTAAGATGCAGATGGGTAACTTACAATAAACAAATAAATGTAAAACTATCTAAATAATGAAAATTCGAAGTGCAAATATGAAATGTATACGATGAACCTGTAAATAGAAGTATTGGTGAATCTCAAATGAAAAGACTTCAGTAATGAAAAAATTATCAGAAGTGAGAAACATACTGAAGAGCATCAGTTGCAACCTCTGCAATAAACTTCTGCGTAGCAACAGCTACCAGTCTGATTCTGCAAAAAATAAAGGAGATAAACGATTTGATATATATATATATATATATCCATACAAATGTGCAGAAAAATGAAATACAAAATATGCGCTCTGATGAACTGATTCTCTAAAGATTACTTTTTCAAATTTGAGCTTTCCTTTCTAAGTGTCTCATCAAATTCCCCCCAGATTCAAGACAATCAAGAACCTCGAACCTTTTTTCAATCTCACTTTTCTTGGCCCTTAAATAACCAAAAACCTCATTATTCCATTCTTTTAACTTTCATTTGATCATTTTCAATTTATTCATGAACTTAAAACCCTTCCACTCTTGAATCCTACAATTCGCCCACTACTCTTTAAAATCCTTTTTGAATGAAAGGGTGATCCAACCACATATTCTCAAAGCACCTCCTGAAAATTGGACCAAGTAAATTAAGCATTCAACAAGGTGGGTCAATCAAATCATACTCCCTTACAAAAGAATCAAAATCCCTCATAGTCCTCCTAGCCCTCCTACCGTTCAGCTTTTGGATAACCCTCTAATGACATTGCCGTACTTCACTGTGGGTTTCCTTTGTGAGAAAACTGAGGAAATTAGAAAAATTACTAGCTTTGAATCATCAATTTTTCATCAACACAAACCCCTCACAGAAACATCCAGTCAACTGACCTTAACACAACTATTTACCTTTATCGAGTTAGGTTTACTCATTTTTAATCTGATTGTGCACTTACTTCAATTTTGTTGGCAACCAAATAGAGGGCAAACAAATAGAGAGACAAATACGAGGATGACATTTTAGGAGGCGTAGAAGCACAGTTGTCAAATCGGGATTTGAATAGTGAATCGAAACGGTATTGTACCGAATCACGAATTGAATTAAATCGTGAATTGTAAAAATTCGGTCACCTTTTTTAAATTACATAAAAAAATATATCTACACACTTAAATATTAAATATCTAATAAATATGAAATATTTAGACTTAAATCAATGAAAATATTGTTTTAAATGATGATCATGTGGTATGGGTAAGAAGTTAACATGGGTTCCCATGTTTCCCACTTCACCTTTTCCCTTTTAGATACTATTTCTTATCAATAAGATAGCAAGCAAAGACAAAATTTTAATTTTCAAGTAACAATAACTCAACAACAATATTTTAAACTTTTTACAAGGTCAAAAAATCAAAAATTTCAATTTTTTCAAAAATCTTTTTTGATGCCTTAAAAAAATTTATTTTGTAAATGCAAGTATTTAGATAAAATTGAATATGTAAGCCTAGAATATTGTAGAGAGAGAGAATTCATTTTTTGGGGTTAAAGTTTGAGTATTTGAGAGTAAATAGGGAGGGAGAAAGCCAAAATATGGCATGTAGTAATCTTAAAGATCTTAAAAATGTTTTGTGAACCATTTTCCAACAATAAAAAATCATAAAAGAAAGTCAGACATCAATTTTAGCGATTCGAATCGATTCACGATTCACTGATTTGATTCTCTGATTCAATTCATTGATTCACCTACAATTCATGACTATTTGCGATTCACACAACCTGTTTGTATCGATTACCCATTGAATCGAATCGAATTGTATGATTCAAATCGCGAATTGTATGATTTTAATAACAGAGAGTAGAACTACCTACAATCGAACATCAGGACATTGGAACCCGCTTTTCGCCAAGTAATGCTCCACCAATTGGTCTGGAATCTGAGACCAAAAAACATAGTAAATTTATTATTGAAAACAAAGCATACATAGGTTTTTCATTGAGCTTTTCAAGGATAATTTACAGTGGGGGTGTAGTCCATCAAGGACGCAAGGAAATCAGAGAGCACAGTATCTTCATCGTGCCTGCCATCACTCGATTGCTGATTGTGGTTCATCTTTGCTTGTCCCAACTCTCTCTCCCCCTTTGAACTGCGAGGTAGGCCTTCTTACCAATGTTCTAAAACCCTGATTGTTAAGGAAACCTAAAAAAGGCTGGGTCTCAGAATCAATGGTTCAACCATCGAGTCAGTCGAAATTGAACCGTGATTGACCGATGATGTCGTAATTATGTCATAAATAAATAAAACTATACACTTTGTTTGTTTTCACTTTTCAAAAAAACACTTTTCAAAAAATTTTATTTTCTTATTTTGCGTGTTTTTTTGTTTTTACTGAATTTTTTTAATATTTTAAGCAATTTTTTTACTTTTTAAACACACCTAACATAAATACACATAAAAAGTAAAAAAATCGTAAAAAAAATCTTTTAAAAATTCATTAAATACCAAAAATATAAAAAAATACAAAAATTCAGTACATTTCTTGTATTTTTATGTATTTATTAATTTTTTAAAATATTTTTTTATAATTTTTTTACTTTTTAGATACATCTAAATAGGTGCATCTAAAAAATTAAAAAAAATATTTAAAATTTAAAAAATATTCAATAAAAATAAAAAAACACGAAAAACAAAAAAGATTAATTTTCAAAAAACTTAATACAAAATGCTCAAACCAAAGACACTGATAGACATTTTCTCCCACATTAACTCTGCAAACCAAGCAAGTACCATCTAAAACTTTAATTGGGAAAACAAATTTGATATCAAATAAGCCAAGCTCTGTAAAACCAAATCAGAGTTCAGAATATTGATTGAGTAGAAATGAAAAAGTTATCTCCATTTCAGAATGCCACAAAGAAAGGCAACTGAAGATGTAAGTAAAAACATGTAAGGCTCAAACAACGAAAACATATTAAAAAAAAAAAAAACATTTTCAACGAAAAATCTCTAAAAACTGTTTTATTATTTGTGAATGGAATTCGTAGATGCTTCACAAATTGACACCAATAAACGAAACAATTGTATAGAATTTTCTAAGATACTCAGTTTGGTTGCTGAGGAAGCAAAGAAAAACGACTAATATTATTAGTGTTCTCTTTCGATTTAGCTTCCGAGGGGATGCATAGAGCAGGAGCAGAGTCGGTACCTGAACTTACGCTGCCGTCGCCGGAGAACAAGATGTCGCAACTGGACTTCAGTGAACAGAGATGAGGGATCGATCGCGGATGAGAGAGAGAGAGAGAGAGATTTGCAGATTGATCGTCAATTGATTTGATTTGAGCCCTAATTTGGAATATATAGAGGGCTTTTCAACCCTGCCGGTCTGCTGGTTGGAGCAAGTCACCGGTTGGACCGCACATTTAACAAGGATTGTATAGTAGGGTAATAACCTATCATCGGTGGATGTTTGGGAATTTTTTTCATTAATATGTTAATTTACCTGATTTATAATTTGTCCTTGTATAATTTGTGTCAATTTAGGGAGGGAAAATCACAAATCCAACCACCCTTCAACAAATTGAGGATTTTTTTAGAGAAAATTACAACTTAGTGAAATTTTAAAAAATTTATTGATGTTGGTGAAAAAAATTATCACTTTACTGTTTGTAAATATTTTTAAAAACGTTTTCCAATTTTTTTACCCATCTTCAATCCACCAATCCTCAACCTAATTCAACATTTTAACCATCATGAACCAACCAACGAATTGGATTGGTCAAAAATATAAATGAAAAAGAATACTAATGAATACATAATCATAATTTTGTAATAATTTCAACAAAAAAATTATTTATTCTGAATCTCAATACCAAACTCACAAATTAATCAACTTCATGATTTTATTTAAAATTATATTTAGAAATTAATATATAACAGAATCAAATTAGTATGCAATGAACCTGAAAGGCAACGAATGGTGTGTTACTAGAGTTCAAGAAAAAAATTGTGAGAGATCAAAATGTAAGGCAATTTGCATATGTACATAAGCAGGATATATCAACTAACCCACTGCCACCCAAATGATATGACAGTAACATTTATATAATTAATAAGTAACTTGATAAATTCTTCCTCAAAAAAACACAAAAAGGAAAGAACTTGGTAAATCATTTATTTTAAAGTGATAGACTCATAATATGTACAAATTCTATTTTGAGAGTAATCTCCAAATTCAAGTAATAATTTGAGAAAAAAAATCAATTTTAGGATAATCTTGCAAGAGTGACAATTCCCAAATTTTTATTCTTCTTTATGCTTTGTTTGGTTGAAGGATTTAGAAAAAAAATTGAAAAGAAAAAAAGAGAGAAGATTTGAAAAGAGAAAGAAAAAGAGAAAAAAATGTAAATAAAATATACCTACATTTTACATAGTTTCACACTTTCTTCCTTTCTTTTTCTAAATCCCTGCTCAAATCCCCCAACAAAACACAATGTTAAAATCCATTTTATGTGACAATTATCAAGAAAAGTGAGATTTTCACTATAATTTGGATAATAAAAAAAGAGTTCCAAAATCTTATCCACTTCATCCCACCACCAATAGCATTAATCGTAAACAAATCATCCACTCATCCCCAAAAATAAATAAAATAAAACAAAGCTACAAAAAAATTATCCAATCATCTCATGCCATGTGTACCCTCATTTACCCAAGAGTATATCCTTAGCCAATTATCATTAAGATGTGACCCCATGTATTTTGGGAAGCAATCAAGTACATCCTCTTATACATTCTTCCCAGAAAAACCACAACATGCATGGAGACACATTTATAAAATGGGTAACAGTGTTAAGATGACAATGTGGCTTGAATCATCAGTTGGACGAGGGTAAACAAGAAAGAAAAATTAAACAACCAATATAATGCTCTATATATAATCTCCCTCAGCAGCATAATTTCAGACTCCCACCACGCTATCAATTAGTGGTTATATAATCTTTGCTTTAATAGACGCAATCCCCATGTTTACCGCCACATACTTCTAGCATTTGGCTTCATTACTGCATCAAGAATTCTACACATCCATCGATCTAACATTCCTGTTAAATATCAATATATTACATTATGAGAACATCAATGGAAAGTGAACTTTATATGATTCGGAAAATTAGAAATGACACAGAGCAGATTCCTGCCCATAACCTCAAACATGGGCTTCATAAAACTTTTGCAGTAGATGGATTCTCAAAACGGATTCTCAGAACTTCAAGCAACGGCCAAGATAGTTTTTCATAGATGAATTTCTAGGTGAATTTTCATTGACCCTCCGTTTGTTTTTTTTTTCCAATGAAAAGCATTTTCTACAAAAAAAAACTTTTTTCAAGAAAATGTTTTCAGGAGAACATTTTTAGTTGCGTTTTTGAAACTAATAAACTAATGATTGTATTAGTGGTAGTGGCAGCAGGACGGAGGTGAAGGTGGTAGAGTTGTGGTGGTAGTGGCAGTGACGGTGATCGAAGTGGTGGAGGTGATGGTGACATTGCTAAGACTTTAGTTTGAAAAACGTTTTCTACCCTTAAAAGTGGGAACATTTTCTGCGCAAATAGACCTTTTTTTACATTAACCATGGAAAATGTTTTCTATTGGCTTTCATTTTCCGTTGTACCAAACACAAGAAAATGAGAAAAACTTTCAAAAAAATGTTTTTTGCCCAAACAAATGGAGCGTGAGTTCAAATATGAAGTCGTAAAAAATGCAAAATTCACAGCCACAATATTTTGGCTCTGTTTGGTTGTGATTTGTAATCAATTTTCTACACGTGTGTTTGAGTATGATGTTTGATTATGGTTTTGAAATCAATTTTCCACACTCTCGAGAACTCTGATGCACAGGCCGCATTTTTGTCAAAATTTTGCCTAAGGAAGTCCGCCCGGATGTCCTCTGAATTCCAGAATTTTTTTTTTTTTTTTTTTGGCAATTGATTTACATACTCGGGAAAAATATTTTCTGAATTTTTTAAAATTTTTTATGTGTTTTAAAATAATTTTGAGTTGTATGTTTAGTTATGAGTTGTAAATTTTTGTATCACATATCAAATGTCACATCAACAATTCCCCACTCAAATCAAACCTCTTTTCCAAAACTATTTTCAAAACTCTTTACCAAACAAATTTTCTACACTCAAATCATAATTCTACAACACACAAACTCAAAATAAAACTCATACTCTCAAATCACATTTACAAAATACAACCAAACGCAGGCTTTCTGTTTCCTTTGGTAATTTGTCACTTTAACCAGTTTTACAGTTTTTTTTATTAGTACAGACCTTTTAAAAAATTAGACTTCAAAATAAATTTAAATGATGAGGCAAATTTTCAGAATTATTACGAAAAAAAAAAAATCGATTTTGTTATTAAGTGGATGGTTATCTTTCAATTGAATCATCACAGATAGGATACCTTTTCCAGATCCTCATTCTTCAGTGTGTGCAACTTTTTCCCAAATCCCAAAAAGCAGGGTAAAGAGAATAGTACAAACCTGTTAAGGCAAATGTACCGCCCAATACTGCACAAAGCCGAGTGATGAAGTGGAGAAAACTGCGACGTTCCTCTCTGATGGTCACAGTAATTGGTGACAGATCATACAGAAAGTAAACAGCTGGATAGAATAACAATGGGGTTAGTAATTGGAACACAGATGATAGTAGCAGCAAGGAACAAAAAAAAGATCGGGAAGAGAAAAAGAAGAGTTAGCAGAGAGGGATCAAAATAAATTCCAGGGTCCAAACAAACCTGGCCAAGTCCTATCATACTCCTTCATAGGAGAATAATATTCCGTGACTGAGAATTGATTAGTTGGTAAAACTTCTTTTGATAAGTATCTGTATTCAGTTGGAACAATCTACATGGAAACAAACAAATTTCTCAACAAAGAGCAAGAAAAAGAATGCTAAAACCCTAAATATAGACCCAACTATTAAATGAACTATATATATACATAAAGCAGAGTTCAAATTTTTGTTCAATAAATGAATATGTTGTTTCAATAAATTATTGTTCAATAATAGAGAAAATTTGGGTTTCAGCCTGCAAGGGCTAACAATTGAGTGCTTTGTATGCTTTATCAGACCAAAACATCCAATGAGCATTCTAAGAACAACAATCATGTTAAGACTATGTTTAGATCTTGGATTTGTTGCGTGAACAGAAATGGTAAGGGAATGCTTTCATTCATTTTCTTTTCCTATCTTTTCACTCCATGAATCCATGAACAAAACACAACATTTATATGGTCATTACCCACTCTCCATAAGGGCGTCCCATAAATTTGTTCAAATAGTGTGATACTAGTAAATTCTAATGATCATAAGAAAAATGCTTCCAAGATAACATGTGCAAAAATAGCCAGTTTTATTTTTCTTTCAACACTGAGGACAACACAATGATCATTTAAGCAAGGGTCCTCTCGAACAGCAAGATCTGGAGCACACATGTGCAGAAAAAATGCACCAGCTATCTTAAAGAAGGTGCATAGAAACACCAGAAGATAAATCAACAATTTTATCAAAGAAAGACCAGGAATCAAACCTTTATGTAATATTTGAAACATTCACATCAATGTATGATGATGTAAACATTCACATCTGTAGAAATTTAATGTATAAAGAGAAAAAGAGAATTGTATTATTGATTGATGTTTGTAATTGTTAAATTATTGAATGCTACAGTGATTCCTATATATAGAAGAGTAGGTGGTAGTAGGTGGTAGATGGAGTAGGTAAAGTGGAGGTGGTAGGTGGAGTAGGTGAAGTGGAGGTGGTAGTGGTGTAGTGGGTTTAGTGGAGTAGGTGAGGTGGTAGTGGTGTAGTGGGTGAAGTAGGTGATAGGTTTTAACAGAGTGTGATACTAGTAAATTCTAATGATCATAAGAAAAATGCTTCCAAGATAACATGCGCAAAAATAGCCAGTTTTATTTTTCTTTCAACACTGAGGACAACACAATGATCATTTAAGCAAGGGTCCCCTCGAACAGCAAGATCTGGAGCACACATGTGCAGAAAAAATGCACCAGCTATCTTAAAGAAGGTGCATAGAAACACCAGAAGATAAATCAACAATTTTATCAAAGAAAGACCAGGAATCAAACCTTTATGTAATATTTGAACGTTCCACTTGAACCACGCAGAATCCTGTTGGAAAAAAAAAAAAAAAAAAGCAAAGAAGGGGGGAGAGAGAGAGAGAGAAGAAAAAAAAAGCAATAGGTAAGTGAACTAAAGTGAATGAAAAAACAGTTGAAATGGAAGGATATGAATTAACCTCCACACTAGCAGTAGAAGACATTCAAAAGGCTAGCAAACAAAACAAAAGATCTGGCCATTTTCTTAAAAATAACTTGAACAATTTAATCTCCTTATAATGACAGAAGTTACCCCTTGTTAACTAATTGGTATGATGTATAAGTCAAAGGGTATATTTGAGTCCCAAGGAAAGTTAATAGCCATTTAACTTTCTGTATTTCATTCCAATTAAGTCAATTATTTTGACTGGAGCCATTATGAAAATGGCACCAATCTCAAAAATGACGTCAAATTATGAATTTTGTCACTTCAAAGAAACCTAAAGATGATCACAACCAGAGGATATGAAGAACTCCTGTTTTTTGCATGCCTCCATGTTTCAATGATAAATTCCACTGTAAAAGCCACAGAAATTCCAAAAAAATGAACAAATGAAATGAGGGATCACAATGAACCCCAAGTTTTTCTTTTTTCTTTTTTCTTTTTCATATCTCATCAGTGCTTAGTGTAAGGATAAAAGCTTGAACTTCCAAAAGTAATAAAATGAGAATAACGCCTCATAGACTCCAATTTTAGAGGACCAAAACTAGGACATGACTTCTCTTCCGTGTTACAGGAATTCCCCATATACATCACGATAGAGCATTTATATAAGCATGGAAGTAAGGTTCACACACAAGCCAGACTCCTAAAGGCCAGCATCACAAAATTTAGCAAATTGAAGTGGACCAATATTTTATTACCGAAAACTTAAGTTCAGGCTGAGTACCTTTTATGAAGATAGAAGACCAATTTGCTGTTATTTTAAACAACAATGATTCATCCCACTAAAAACATCACCACTAATAGCACTAATACATTAAAAAAGTAAAAAAAAAAAAAAAAAAACAACTTCAAGACCAAAACATCAAATCATTAATGGCGGGACCCACTGCCACCTAATTAGTGGGAGCACTAATTAGTGCTCCCAAGCATTTTTCTATTTTAAATAAAGGGGGGTAGCTAAACTATACTAAATTAGAAGTATTTTGTACTTCTCCAAGTATTTGTCTAAATAATATTAAGAGAATCAACTTCTCACTATTTTTCTTCTCCTCCCGCTTCTTCCACTTTTTTTATTTGTTTTTATTAATTTTACCAAGCAACCAATGGTTTAATCAGGAATCACATTATTCACATATTTATACATACTGATGACTTGTTACATGGAATTACATTACAAGAAAATAACCTTTAAAAAAACAGTAAAAAAAAAAAAACTGACCATTTGTGCAACAAAAATGTTCAACCCATGAACTGAGATATGGAAGTTCCCAGCAACTCTTTGGACATCCAAGACCCCATAAACCTGCAAGAATGGTTAAGCTTATTAATTCTATCATAAACTCGAGCATGTTCACATCCAAATTGGGACCAAAACATACCCGACATCCTTCTCTATTACCCAATGCTTGCTTGACCTTCTTAATCATTGTTTCAGCATCTTGATCAAAGCCATGTAGGTGATTTTTCTGATCTGAATCCTCATGATTATCTTTATCGCCATCTGATCAATGATTTTTGTGAGAACCACTTAATTAATAACAAACAAGCTTAGGAAAAGTACTTTATGACCCTCAACTACACAAGGAGCACAAGGAAATAATAATTTAATTTGCTAATGATAAATTACAGGCACCATTGTAAGACAAAGGTTAATAGCAGCAATGGCATCCAAATGGAAGGGGTGGTGCTGAGGGTTTAATTCCTACCATTAGGAATTTAGGAGAAATCTTCACCAGCACACACAAAAAATAATAAAAATGGTGTACAATGACGCAAGATCATGATAATTGTTCATGTCACACTGAAATTCATATTTGCAATGTTCAAAATAGACCATAGTTTGAAAGGGGAAAAAAACCGTATTTCCGATGGTCACCCTAGCTATTTTTACTGAATGCACAGTAAGTCAATTATAGCCATCCAACCTGCTGCTACATCAACAGGGAAATTACATCCATCCTGACAATAGTTGAAACTAGGAAGGCTATAAAAGGTGTTTGCTGCTCCACCGGAAGAAAATATTCAATTAGATAATCTAGTTGCATAATGTTGTAGGTTGACCAACAACATCAGTGCTTGGTCAACAAAGGGTGGTCAAAATGACGACTAGCCACATAAGCTAGTTGACTACGATGGTCCACTAGGCAAGTCTCTTCAACCCCACTATTGACCGACCCGTAGGCAGATTGAAATGCTGACAAAGCCACTAACCTTTATCATAACGTTGGGGTGGGGCATTAAGATCCTGATTCAGATTTAGATTAATCAAACCATATATAAAGCTCAACAAGCTGTTGCTGCATTACTAAATGTTATTTCTAATGATTTTATGTTCTTTATTTTAGAAAACAACAACCTGCATTTCTAACCTTGAAATTGCACAAGCTATCTTCATAGAAATGAAAACGATTGTAACAAATTGAGACAACAAAATACCATATTAATTTAAAAAGAGAAGCAAAATGGCTTATAGTTTATTCAAAACCATAATGCAGGGTATGTTCAATAAAAGACATTACCATGCTTATGAGCAGTATCAGTATGTTCCTTTTCCACAAGATCTGACAAATATTCAGTGCCAATGATATGGCCATCACTACTCAAACGAAGCTGCAGAAACTCTCAACTGATTAGCAGAAACATGAGAGAGAGAGAGAGAGAGAGAGAGAGAGAGAACAAATGAAAAGCATATAGAAAAGAAATAATCTATTGATATTGAAGCTTATCTGAAACAAACACAGGATACTAAAAATTAGTGCTGCTGGATATAACATAGCCAATAAAACAAATTAATCACTAGTGATACTGTCTGGCGGAGTGGTTGAGCCCACTCCTTTATTCAAAAGGGCACATATACAACATGAGTCACATGACAACCACCAACCACAAATTTCTGAGAAGCTAAGTATAGATTCTACAAAATTTGTGTCCCCTGCCAAGGCTCATCCATAAGCTCTGCAAAAGCATCTCCATTTGGAGAAACAGACTACGTACTAAGAATCAAGTTGAAATATCATTAGTGGACATTTGATGTAAACTAAAAAACAAACTTCTCACTAAAAAAACCAAAAAGACACTAAGTTGTTTGTCATCAGCTAAAAAAGTCAAATGTCATATCAACTTTTTCACTCAAAAAAAAAAAAAAAAAAAAAATTTTTTAAAAAAAAAAAAAAAAAAAGGTTTTTAAGCAACATCCCAAACATATTAGCTTTTTTAGCTCCTAAAAAAGCCAAATTCCAAACCCACCCTTAGGCTTAAAAATTAATGGATACCAAGCAACATGCAGCAAGCATCAAACGAATCAGAAATGAGCTGTTGTCCAACACCCCAACTCTTGAAAAGAGTTCCTTTTTTTTAAGCATCAACAAAGAAACTTGTATTAGAGAATGTCCTGGTGGGAAAGGAGGGGAAGAAATCTCGATAAAATGGTGCTGTTTCTAATAATGATCCAGCTATAAATGTTGCTACGGTTTCTAATAATAATAACCCATCCTACATCATTATCTCTAGAAATCCTTAACCAAAGCACACTAATAAGGATGTATGATTACATCAATTTCATGTATATAATGAGTCAAACTATATATCGAACTGAAACTTATAAGTATATTCGAATCAAGAAATGTTCAACTGCCTTACTTTCCATATATTTGTATCAAGATCGACCTCATGCTTGCCAGACATGTCAATAGCATCCACACTTAAAACTGCCAAAAAAAAAAAAAAAAAAAAAAAAAAAAAAAAAAAAAAAAAAAAACCAGAAAAAAGTGAACAATGTATAACACATAAATGCACCCATTATGTCAAGGTATTAAAAAAACATGAAGGATAAGAAAATAAACAAGGCAGTTATGTAGAACATAAAACATGCTAACCATCACAAGGTAAAGATGGGAAAGTCATATTTATGTGGATTGGAAGAGTTTCTCCACGTTTCAAGTCAACAGCCATCTGCCAAGATATGAATTATCACAGCAAGAAGACCATCTATATAGTCTGAGAATCTTTACGCGATAACAATAATAAAGAAAAATGATTAAGCCGTAGTGTACTCGTTATCTTACACTAAATTTAGAAGAAAATGGAGCATTACAGGGGGTAATTTAGAACAAATAACACACCTGGTGAACAGTATATGTGGTAATATAATATCTCAGCTCATGGAGGAACAAAGAGGCGATTATGACCAGACCCACAATGGAGACTGGACAAATAAACAAGGAAAAAAATTTGCAAATTAGCACTAGAATCAAACTGTTAAGTATAAAATCAAAGTATAGGATACAGGAATCCAACACATTTTAATATTTACTAAGTACATCAGGTAGTGCAGTTGCAGTTACTATATATTTTACTTATCCAAATTAAACTAGAAAGAGGCCAAATTATTGAACGCTCATACAACATTCTGGTACACTCATCCTTCATGTTTCAAAGAGAGACATGTCTCCTATACATAAGGAATTGGGAAAGAGAAATATAAGTCTTTCATTGCATGCAATCGAGTGGGTTCAATCTGACCATGTCTTAATCTTACATATGAAAGAAATACCCAACTCTTTAAAATTAGGATGTGTCCACATAAGCAAACTTAATAATGCATGTACAGCATGTCTTAACTACAAATAACATGCCGAGCAAACAAAAATATAACATGACAATTTGCAATTTTCTCAAAGAAAGTTTGAACGAGGATGAGGGGGAGTCGGAGAAAAAAAGTAGATACCAACTGCCCCAGATTGTGTTTTCTGCAACAAGTGCTCCTCTGCACGCGGGAATGCGTCAAGGTTTTTTATTGCTTGTTTGAGACCCATCCTGACCTCGTTATTAATCTTAATCACCTATCAAATGGTAAGAACTGCTCAAGTTTAATTAGAATGGTAATACAAGTCAACAACTGCAACTTATGGCATGGGGAAATAAGTGACAAATTCAACAAATTTCCAAGAGCAACCATTATCTATACACGTATATGCAAATATGTAAGAAATATATAACAATAATATAAATGTGTAGAGATATACATACACATATGAGAACCGACAGTCATTATAAGCTACTTTGATGACCATGGTGAAATTATTCAAATGCCACCATAAAGGGAGATATTTTGACATAAATGTTTTTGCATCTTGTAGGAACTTTAAAAGGAAGACAAAAAAAATATATTTTTTTTTTCCTAATGAATAAAGTGCAGTAATATTAAAACAAAGCATCACGCTGATGTAAAAGAATACAATGAATGAACCCCCGGGAAAGGGGGAAAACACCATCTAACTAATCAAACCATCCAAAAAATTCAGAAAAGGAAACACAGTTGGATCCACCCTCCCCAATACCCAGCTATACAAAACCAGCAAAACCCTATTCTCCAACCTCGAGATTGGTTAAAACACCCTTAAAAAATATGCTGTTTTTGCTCCAACCAAGTCAACCACATTAAGCACAGAGAGGCAAGGGCCCAAGCCTTCCAATACTTGTTCACAACCTGGCCCCCTCCCCAACTCCAAAGAAACCCCACCGCACCCCTTCGTTGAAACCAAGCCACACCAAAAATAAGCACCCACAAACGATCGGCCATTGGAGAATGAATGACCAAATGATCAACAGACTTTGCATCTCCACAGCATATGCAACACCGATTTACTAGAATATGGTGATAACGAATCAAATTATCAATCGTCAAAATCCTAGCTAAGGCCACCGTCCACACAAAAAACGACACTTTGATGGAATTCTCACAATCCAAATACTCTGCCAAGGAAAAGACCCACTTAGGCCACCAATCAAGGCCCAATAAAAAAGATGAGACCAAAAAAAAAAACCCTTCGCAACCGGCCAACGCCACACCAAATGATCCCCCCTCCGCCCCAACTTGCACACCATACAAAGAGACCTAATAGATCCACCAATTTACGAATCCAAATTTTTTAAAAAGAGTGTACCTTGGAAATGATATGTCAACTATGCTAACTTAAAAATAAAATAGACTGTTTTTTTAACAATAAGTAGAATACAAAAATCAAGGTGTCACGAGTCTAGAATAAATCCCTAAAATCAAACCAAGAGTAGGTCACAAATGGAAAAATCCTTCAAAGAACAAGACGAACATATCTACTGCTAGTTACGTAACATGTCAGGGAGTATGAAAAACACGTAACCTTCTTAAAAGTGTCTGTGTTTCTTAGGTGATGGGAAAGCACAAAACATGTGCATATCTGTTTATGAGGATAAAGAATTTTTAGATAGAATTATCTATGCTAAAGTAAAACTAATATCCTTCATAGTTCCAACAGATTGCTACCAATAAAGATCAAATATTCCTAATAAAAATTAATACGGCCACTGTATAGGTATTAGAAATGCCACCTTATGATGGGAAGTACAATTTCATTCCATCTTATTCCACTAACTTCAAAAATCTTTGAATTGGTCTAGCACATGATGGTGTTAGTTTCTCAACATGTATAATATGTTAGGCATGAAACAAGTTTCCACTAGCTGACCCAACAATATTCTCGGCAAAACTTGACTATAATCTATCTAATTGTGAAAAAAATTGTCTTTAAATTTATCAATCCACATAACATGAAAATTATCAAAATTCTCAAAACACATCAAACACTAAACTCCAGATACAAAAAGTCGACGCTTATATCACATTTAAGCCATAAACTGTCATCTTCTGCTCAATATTTGAAACACTACAAATCATAAGAAACCCATAAAATTAATTCAAAATCTAAAGTCGTTCACAAATCCAATAATATATACATACAAAGATACAGAGAATCGATGCAATTACACAATTTTATGCAAATATATAACAATTATATTATATGTGCATAAATATGTAGGGGGAGAAAGAGAAAGACCTGGGGAGGAGACGATGATCGTTGAGCTAAAAACGAGGAGACGTGTCTGATCAGAAAAATTCTACTCATAATTCGATTTCGAACCCTAGCCAATTCAACACAGTCACAACGATAAGTCCGGTTCGTCGCTGGACCGTACTGGCTCGAGAGATCAGTTAGGACGGCAGTTCAACCTTTAGCTCAACGATCATCGTCTCCTCCCCAGGTCTTTCTCTTTCTCTCCCTACATACTTATGCACATATAATATAATTGTTATATATTTGCATAAAATTGTGTAATTGCATCGATTCGCTGTATCTTTGTATGTATATATTATTGGATTTGTGAACGACTTAAAGATTTTGAATTAATTTTATGGGTTTCTTATGATTTGTAGCATTTCAAATATTGAGCAAAAGATGACAGTTTATGGCTTAAATGTGATATAAGCGTCGACTTTTTGTATCTAGAGTTTAGTGTTTGATGTGTTTCGAGAATTTTGATAATTTTCATGTTATGTGGATTGATAAATTTAAAGACAATTTTTTTCACAATTAGATAGATTATAGTCAAGTTTTGCCGAGAATATTGTTGGGTTAGCTAGTGGAAACTTGTTTCATGCCTAACATATCATACATGTTGAGAAACTAACACCATCATGCGCTGCTTTATATTAAAAAAAAAAGGAAAGGAAAACAAACATTGCTAGACCAATTCAAAGATTTTTGAAGTTAGTGGAATAAGATGGAATGAAATTGTACTTCCCATCATAAGGTGGCATTTCTAATACCTATACAGTGGTCGTACTAATTTTTACTAGGAATATTTAATCTTTATTAGTAGCAATCTGTTGGAACTATGAAGGATATTAGTTTTACTTTAGCATAGATAATTCTATCTAAAAATTCTTTATACTCATAAAGAGATATGCACATGTTTTGTACTTTCCCATCACCTAAGAAACACACACTTCTAAGAAAGTTACGTGTTTTTCATACTCCCCGACATGGTAGGTAACTAGCCGTAGATATGTTCATCTTGTTCTTTGAAGGCCTTTTCCATTTGTGACCTACTCTTGGTTTGACTTCAGGGACTTATTCTAGACTCGTGACACCTTGATTTTTGTATTCTACTTATTGTTAAAAAAACAGTCTATTTTATTTTTAAGTTAGCATAGTTGACATATCATTTCCAAGGTACACTCTTTTTAAAAAATTTGGATTCGTAAATTGGTGGATCTATTAGGTCTCTTGTATGGTGTGCAAGTTGGGGCGGAGAGGGGGATCATTTGGTGTGGCATTGGCCGGTTGCAAAGGGTTTTTTTTTTGGGTCTCATTTTTTTTATTGGGCCTTGATTGGTGGCCTAAGTGGGTCTTTTCCTTGGCAGAGTACTTGGATTGTGAGAATTCCATCAAAGTGTCGTTTTTTGTGTGGACAATGGCCTTAGCTAGGATTTTGACGATTGATAATTTGATTCGTTATCGCCATATTTGTTATCGCCATTTTTTAGTCCAACATTGAAACTCATATTGGGAATAAAATAAAAAAACATATAAACAATTGTAAAACAGAGCTAAATTAGCCAAAAGGGCAAAAGATTATAGTTTAATAGTTTAAACTACTATTGAGTTTTATAGTTCAAACATCTATTTTTGTATACCCTACATTGAGTTTCATAGTTCAAACATCTATTTTTGTTAATATAATTTTGTTAATGAAAATAAACTAATAGGTTAAATTAAAAACAAATCAACAAAAACAAAAAAATATTTTGGTTTAGAAGCTATATATATACATTTTTTTCTGCGTGTAATTTACACTTTTGTGTCTCTTACTTAGCTAAGATAGGGTAATATATTGTTGGTCATTTACTAATAAATCCTATATGTTTGACTTGTAGTCACATAAATACTCTTGCGATGTTATAAATTCTATTTCACATTAAAAATTTTCAAATACAATATACTCACATTTTAAAACGCAATAAGATAAATAGTTCATCCATCAAAATATACCTTATTGTCATTTTTTAATAAAGACATATTTAACAAAAATTTAATAAGACAATAACATAAACCTAACACATGTATTCATTTAAAAAATAATACATTTGATGGTGTAATTTCATATGTAATGAACAAATGATTCATCTCCGCAGTTGGAATTTGTAGGAATCGTTAAAGTAACAAACGGTATACTTTTCCAAATTTAATGACATTATAAATGTCTATAAGAAACAAACAATTCATTGGTATTGATAAGGCAAAATTGGATTGGTCTGATTATGAAATTAACAAATTTGTGATGAAAAAAAAGTTGAACATTCATATATGTATGCTTCATAATCGAGTAAATCATACAGGTAGGGATAACAATGATGATTGTAGGGATAAAGTTGAACTTCGAACCGAAATCGTGAGAGATGCTTAGATCGTGAATCAGATCGCCGAACCCAAATGAACATCTGACAACCAGATCAGTAAAGGGTTTGGGTTTGGGTTTTGGTTTGTGTTTGGGTTTGGGTTTGATAGAGGATTTTGGTAGAGAGAAGAGAGGGTTTCGGTGTTAGAGATAAGAGAAGAAAGATAGAAAAGAGGAAAAGTTTTGGAACAGAATCAGAGAAAGGAGAGCGAGAGTGAGAAAATTAATTTGCGTGGAAGAGATGTTACCTTGTAGTTAGGGGGAAACGGGCCGGCGTGGTGTAAATCTGGTCAGCAGTGGTGCAGATCTGGGCGACGGATTGTCCGACAGCCGTCGGTTACTGTTAATTTGCGATCGAGTCGAGGTCGGACTTCCCCACGGCTGTTGCGGTGCTGCACGGTGAAGGCTGCGACGGATCTCCGGCAGTCGCTGGTGTGGATATCTCCGGAGACGGATTGTCCCCTTTTGTGGCTATCTCTGCAGAACTCGACTGAGAGAGAGAGAGAGAGAGAGAGGAAAGGGGATCTTCGGCTGAGAGGATAAGGCCAAATTACAAAAAATAAATATAAATAAATAAATAAAAATAAATAAAAAATTTTAAAAATTAAAAATTATTCAAAAAAATTAGAAAGTTAATATTATTTATCAAAAATTAATAATTACGGCTGTATAACTTTCAATTTTAATTTTTTTCTATAAATTAATTTTAAAAAAATTTTATTATACATTTTTTCATAAAAAATCAAAAAATTAATTCAAACATCTATATTTTTTTCTTCAATTTTTTTGTCTAAAAAGATAAAAAATATACTTATTTAAAACACCCTAAACAACACATAATATTGGGTTGAGGAAGGAATAAAAAAAAGGAGCAAAATAATATTTTTACACCCTCTAGGTCAGACACAATTTTGGCAGCCCAAACACAATTTTGGCAGCCCAAAACATGAAAGTAGGATAATTTTTTTTTGACTTTTTTAATAATTTTTTAACTTTTTAACTTTTTTTTTTTTTTTTTTCTTAGGGAGTTATTTAAAATATTTTAAATAATTACACTTTTTGACTTGTTGAGAAAAATGTCCCAAACAACACCTACCCTGATTTTATTTAAAAAACATGTGAACGATATTTTCGTCAGCCTCATATCAATTATTATTTTTTATTTACAGACCTCATATTTTTTATTTAGAGAGATACCTCATATTAATTATTTTAAAGGTATTAATAACAATTGATCTTAGCCTCTTATCAATTATTAGACCTCATATTTTTTATTTAGAGAGATACCTCATATTAATTATTTTAAAGGTATTAATAACAATTGATCTTAGCCTCTTATCAATTATTATTTTTTATTTAGAGAGGTACCTCATATTAATTATTTTAAACGTATTAATAACAATTGATCTTATCATATATATCATTATAAGTAGTATTTTGCTCTTATTTAAGTGGTAAAATTTAAAGGCTTAACTTTTTCTAAAAAATTCACGTCTGCCTGTCTTTCCTATTTAAATAACTGTTTGTAATGATTTAAATAAGTATACTTTTTGACTTTTATAAAATATGGATTGAATTTGAAGTAATGTGTTAGAGAGGTGATGTGACTTAAATAGGATAGTGACTTTTTGACTTTTTTAGATCATGTCAAACTACATAAATTTAATTTTAATTATAATAACCAATTTATATAAATTCTATTTGATAAATACTTATTTTTCATATATAATTATAATTTAATTATTATGATTTTTGAAAAAAATTATCTCGATATCCCACATCAGAAAAATAAAGAAAAAATAAATTGTTTCACTTATATAAAATGAACCTTATACTCCTATTTAACATTATAACATTATGTGTGTTTCGGTTCAATACAATTTAAATTTTAAAATTAAAATAAAAGTTAAAAATTTTAATCAATTAATTTTTATATAAGTTGATTGGTCTTTTGACCTAACCGATTAAGCTGAACTTTTTTTTGATTTTAACTGATTCACTAATTTAACCTCAATCTTAGCAATTTTATCAAAATATATTGATTATATTTATTTGATTTGAAATAAAGTAATCTTAGCAATTTTATTAAAATATATTGGTTAGATTTGTTTGATTCAAAATAAACTAAAGATTGACCTAATTAAAGATTAAATAACTAATATTGTTTGATTCGAAATATGCTTCCAGCCCGAACAATTGTCAATATTTATTTTACACAATCTCACATTAGGAAAATAAGAAAAAATAAGTGAGTTGTTTCACTTATTTAAAGTAAACCTATGCTCCCATTAGATATTGTAGTGTTGTGCTTGTTTCGGTTGAAAACAATTTAAATTTTAAAATAAAATAAAATTTAAAAGTTTTAATTAATTAATTTTTGTGTAAGTTAGTTAGTTTTTTTTTTTACAAATTTTAATGATTTTATCAATATATATATATATATATATATATTTATTATTTTATTTCTAAAATGTATGCTTAAGTTTTATGATAAATTTTAATATAGAATAAACTAAAACTAAAAAATTTATAAAATGAAATGTATTTTTATTTTATCATAAATATAATTTTTTAATTTATTCTATTTTTATCATCTTTACTGATTAAATTATGACATCTATTTTTTATTTTGGATTTATAATATACAATTAATGACTTAATAACTGCAATATCTATTATAATAAAATGGTCAAAATTTAATTCATTCTAAATTATTTTTATATATTTTAAAATACATCTTATATTATTATTTAATCTTAAAATTATTTTTAATTATTTATTTAACCTGCACAGGTTCATATGCTAGTTTTATGGGAAAGGTAATATAATAATTGATCTTAATTTATGGCCATGAGAAATGTATGACATGTACATGTACATTATCTACAAAATAAAAAATATTAAAATATTGTTTATATGGGTTTGAGTCGCTCTCAAGTATCAAGATCCTCTAGAGTGGATCGTGAAGTGATCTCCTAAAGTGAAAGATCTAATGGCTCAAAATAAAATTATTTAAAACGACGTCGTTTTGGTTAGTAATTTCAAAAATAAAATAAAAATAATGCTTTAATTCAAAATTCCCAAAATTCTTTCGAGGAATAGCAGAAGCAGTAGCTGAAGGTGGGAGTGCGAGAGAGAGAAGAGAGGCGGGAGTGCCGCCGTCTAGTCATCGCCGCCGCCGTCGCTGAGGTAAATAACATTCATTCCTTTTTACTTTTCTATATTGTTTATTTGTGCACAAATTTTGAATGAAGATCTCTCTTAAAAAGAAATTTAAAACATCAATTCTAGCATACACACATGAAAACAATGACTATTGAAAGCCAATTAACTCTTCACAAAGATTTTGCAAAAGTAAAACAGGGGGGAAGAATATTTGAGATTTGAGACTTGAGACCTCTCAGCAATAACTTTACCAAGCAATCATACTTTAAAATAATTTGCTCATAGCCTACAGTTCTATTTTTCCAACAAATATTTTATGTATTATCAGATCAACGGCAAGGGATCAACACCATGAACCCATCAAAACCATATGAAATTAAATTTAAGAGAACATAAAGTTCAAGACACTAAAGGGATTTCATTTGCATGACTAGTACCCACGGAGCTGAAAAAATGTGATTATGGAAGTGTAGTTCACCTTTGGTTGCAAAATATCATAATTTTTGTATGAGTACTTCTTCTTTCCTGTCTCATCAAGCTTCTTCTTCATATGCAACTCATTATTTATTCAAATAGAAGATGTATATAATAGTGGTCTGTTAAATATGCTTTAAAAACTTTGATAGCTAAACATTGCATTTATATTTTTTTTGTACAAACCAATGATTATTAACACCATAGATTTGCAGTCTAGGCATTTAAATTCCAAGAATTTAAAATTGAGAACTACTTGATCTACGATGTCACGTTTAAAATATATGGACTAATATTTTAAGTTTGGAGGATGAACGAACTTGTGATTTTTTCCTTCAATCTGTTGGAGTATAGCGGCAGCGGCGCGTTGGGGTGGGTGGAAAGAGCTCCTCCTCTCAGCCTCTCTCTCTCTCTCTCTCTCTCTCTCTCTTTCTCTGTGTAACAACCCAAATTTTTTATTATTCTGTAGAATTTATACTAATATTATTTAATCTCAGTTAAGAAAATATAAAATTTATTATATATTATTATGTGTAATTTTGTAAAATAATATAATTATTAAAAGTTTAGGGGTCATAATATAAATAATAATAATAATATGTGTGATAGTAAATAAATAAATAATTTTTTGTTAATATATGATAAAATGTAATTTAATTAATAGTTAATTAATTTATATAATTATATCAAAATATTGAGTCAAAATATAATTATTCTAAATTTAAGATAAATACAAATCCGGTAATGCTACTGTAACAACCCTCATACTGTTTACTGATTAGGGACTGATTGAGTACCGATAACCATCGATTATCGTTAAACTGAATTGATTATGACTGATAATTGAACTGATTAAAGTACTGAACTGACTGACTGAAATTGGAAACCGAATTGATTGAGTATATGTTAGTTAAATTGCATTCTATCTGTTTGACTGTATGATTATCTGTTCATGCTTATATGTTTAAACTGTAAGTGAAGGCCTTATCGGCGGCCGAATCCAAAATTGATTGGTGTTTTATGATCAGCATAATTTATGTAATTTTATGGTACATTCATTGAAAAAGTGATTCGGTATGATTAAATTAGATTAAAATATGCTAATTGGCCAAGTTGGACTTATGTACCAAACTAGCCTTGTAGTGGCCCACTACCTCAAACCTTTTGAGGCTTATTACACTTAATGCATTTGATTAAAAACCAACATTTCATCAGCCTTTGTGTTGCCTCAACCGACCAAAGAAGAGAGTTAGAGAGAGGTGAGAGAACTTGGAATTCATCTTGAAGAATTGCTTGGATTGAATGTAGATTTCACATTGAGCTTCCCTATCCTAAATACAAGACTTAAGGTAGCTCCATTGTCTTCTTGTTCATGTTTTGAGTGGATTCTTGCATGGTTCATGTCATATTGATGGAGTTTAGAGCCAATTCATGGGTTAGATGTTGAATTGAAGCTTGATTGTTGCATGCATGTTGCCATCTTGAGTTTTGAGGTTGTAAGTCATGTTTCCTCACATGCATGTCCATAATTTTGTAATGGTCCATGATTTCATCATGTTTTGGAAACAATTAGCTCCTTAGAGCATCAAATTGAAGCTTTGAAATTTGGTTTGAATTCATGCATGTTGCATGTTCATATTGTTCTTGAATATTGGTTTGAAATTGGTTTGAATAAACACCCTTGGGCTTTGATTCTTCAAATTGAGTTTTGAAATCATTGTTTAACTATGAGTTTACATGTGTTTTCTGGAAATTTAGCCCAAGAGGTCGGGTTTTGATGCATTTTAACTTGAGTTTGAGCTTGGAAGTGCAATCTGGGTTTTTCCAGATTTCGCACTTCCGCTCGAGCGGGGAAGTTACGCTCGAGCGTGGAATCCGAGCATCAGCATCTCTCTGCACTGTT